CTCTTCCTCCACCAACATTCAAGAGGAAAATTTACCCAGGAGGAGTAATCAAGTCCAAATTCGCATGGACTCCACCACAAGGGACTCCTCAACTTATTCGTCCTCTCCGTCAACAATCCTCATCCTCCACCCAACCAAGAAAGCCTTCATCCCGTCTACCAAAGGTAGAATTATCTAATTCTCCTAATAAATTTTTTCTTGTACATATAGGTCACTATCGCTTCCTCTCAATGTCGGACCTTGCAAAAATTGGTCATATGCGCCTATGTATAGAAACACCCTCACAATTGTACATACCTCCCTCTCTATACACTCTAGCGGAAACACAAATTTATATCTATCCTGACCATATCTTCCCGCATCTTCCTCCAATAAGAATATCATACATCATCTCTATTCATAAGAAAAGCACACGGAGTTATCAAAGATATGAAAAGAGAGAAGAAAAATACAAGAGCGTGAATTCACAAGTCAAAGCTACGTGTGTCAGGGCAAGTACACCTACTTTTTAGAGAAAGGCAACGCCTCTGCAGCTATAATGACAGAAAAAGGACAAACATACATAGGTCATGATTGAAGTAAAAAAAAGGGGAACAAATTATGCAAAGGACTTCACGTAACACATATTAAGCAAGCAAAACATTTAATGCAAAATCAAGCGCATTAAATGAAATAGATCTGTGTAGCCATGAACGAACGTTTATCTGCACCAATAGAAAGCTCCGCCTCAACGGACACATTCAAATTTAAATAACGGGCATTTCTATCACAAGGCCATAAATAACAAGACCTGAGAAGAAAAGAACAAGAAGAGAAGTAACAAACAATAAGCAAAAACAAGTGTCAAAACAATCTCACCTCTCTTCTTGTGCAAAGTTGAATATTCGTGTAAAACTAAGATAGTTTATCTTAGTGAGTGTAGAAATCATTTTATCCTCTCTGTGAGAGTTACATAGACACTCTAAACACATTCTTGTAAAACTAACGTTGAAAACCTTAGTGAGTGTAGAATATTCCATCCTCTCTGTGAGAGTCACAAACACACTCAAAACATCCATCGTCTGTAAAGCCTGAAGAGGCTAGTAAAGAAATACTTGTATAACCATAAGTGGTTTAAGAATACTAACGTTAGCAAGTGAAGTTGACGAACCAGGAGTGGTTGAGAATACTTGGGCAACCAGAAGTGGTTTAAAAATACTAGCGTCAGCGAGTGAAGTTGACGAACTAGAAGTGGTTAAGAATACTTGTAATCCGTTGTGATTAGTGGAACCCTTCGGTTGAAGGAGACTAGACATAGCTCAGAATGAGTGAACCAGTATAAAAACTCTGTGCATTGTTATTTGATTTAGAAATGCAGTTTTACTCACATTGAATTATCACTCTGAAAAATTTTGTCTACTACTACCTATTTTCTAAACAATATTTAGAAGATCTTATATTTGTTTGACCGAGGAAACCATTTTCGAACAGACGATAGATCTTCGGACGCAAAGTTCCTCTTTTGTGTGTTTTTCACTAAACTTCAAGAGGTAGTCAATAGGTCACATCCACTATGCTTAGGGCAATTTTAAAGAGTAACCATAAATCTTAGGATGAGTATTTGCCACATATTGAGTTTGCCTACAATAGGGTAGTCCATACGACTACCAATATTTCTCCTTTTGAGGTTGTGCATGGATTTAACCCTTTAACTTCACTAGACTTGATTCCCCTTCCTGATGTTAATCATTTTATTCATAAAAAAGGGGCTTTAAGAGCTGATTTTGTAAAAAAATTACATGAAAGGGTTAAATTACACATACAACAACAAAATGAGAGGTATGCTAGAGCCAACAATAAAGGCAAAAAAGGTATGATTTTCGAGGAAGGCGACTGGGTTTGGCTTCATTTAAGAAAAGAACGATTTCCACAAAAGAGGAAGTCTAAACTCAGTCCCCAAGGAGATGAACGTATCAATGACAACGCTTATAGGCTTGATTTACCCTCTAATTATGGAGTTAGCCCTACTTTTAATGTCAGTGATTTAAAACCTTTTATAGGAGCTAATGATGATGAGAACGAGTCCTTAGGTTCAAGGACGAATCCTTCTCAAGAGGGAGGGGATGATGGAAGAGCATGGACCAAAGGTCCAACCACTAGAGCCATGGCTAGGAGATTACTAGAAGATTTGACTGCTTCAGAGCTTGGTGAGCCCAATGGGCTTGGTGGTCTCAATGGACTTGGTGAGCCTAGGGTACTCTTCACATGGGCTTTACATTGACCACCATCATTATTGTGTTCATGTGTAGTATAGGATTTCATATTTTTGGTTTTGTATTTTGGACCTTTAGTATAGAAATTTTGGGCCTTAGCCTTTATGGACCTAGTTATGGGTTTCATGGGCCTTTAGGCTTTTGGTATCCAATATGGGATTCATTTTAATTATTTTAATATTTCCTATTGATTGTATTTGGTTGGTCATTGTAATTAGATCATTAGATTAGGAATATTGGAGGAAAACTAGAATAGGTCAATTAGGCAAAATCTAAGTTTCATTTAGAAGTCATTTAGTATGAATTTAGAGTCACATGTTTTAAGCTTTGAGGGGCTAAACATGTGCACACCAAATCCACACTGAATGACTCCAAAATGACATTTAGATGAAGCTAGGAGCCTAAGTTCATGGCCAAGGACATGTGACACCAAAATTTGAATTTCAAATTCCATTTGAAATTCAAATATTGGCGCTAATTAATGTTGCTAGTTTGAATTTGGTGCCACTAGCATGACTTGAGGATCTATAAATAGACCTTACCTCCCATTTGTAATCACTTTTGAACATTTTGAGAAATCTGAAATTTGTATTAATCCATTTTCTCTCCCAAAAGTCCCTTGGAACCTTGCTTAGCCTTAGGAATTCCTAGAACTTCTAGGTGGATCCGTGAGCAATCTTTTGCTCTCCTATGCTACAGTGCTTCCATCTTGATTTGGTTCAACCAAATCCGGTCTCATACTTCTTCTTTTCCGGAATTGCATTCTCAAGGACAAGATCTTGTGAGGAACAAAGCAAGGAAGATTTATCAATCCGTCTCACCTACTTAGTTCCATCAATGTTTTACAATAACATATCTTGGCACTCTTTCTACTATTGTTTAATAATATGTAAGGACTTAATTATAATATTAACAAATTATGATATTAAATGACGTCTATAATAATGAACAATAGTAAAGAGGATATCAAAACATTTATCTAAAACATGCCCAAAAGGAAAAGCTATGTATTTATACATGTCGTCTATTGATTTTGAATTCATATATTTTGAAACAAAGCCTATAAAAAAAATTCTATAATACCAGAGGCTGACTACTAACTACTAGTTAGTAGTTACTAGCAAAACAACGCACCCACAAATTAAACACTGCGCGAAAAGCCTGTGGCATATATATTTACTCATTCCATCTATTGGTTTCATATAGTTTCTTCCACCCCTAATGCAAATCTACAAATCTATAAAAATTTATTAATCTCCATTAGTAATATAACCGTTAAGGGTACGTATGACAAAGAATTGAGGTATATAGAACATCCAAAATTACAGGGTGCGGCAACATGCTGTAAACAACATTTTCCTTCCACCCCTGAAAGCATTATCATGCAAATATGGCACCGAGTCACAATCACTTTAGTGTAATATTGACATGTAAAACTCAATATAAGCCTGAAAAGGAAGTAAATCAACGTTAGAAGCTAATGGAAATAAGTGTCATATTAAATTTATTAAACAAAAACCACGATTCAGAATCATGATTGGCAAGAAATTCAACTTTGGAAATAAAGTTTTATATGAAGCAAACAGATATCAGTCTTCCAGTTTTAGCAGTGGTAATCCTAAATAGTTGTACAGATTGCAGAAGATTTCTTAGTCCTTTCTCCTCCACGTAATATATTTGTAACTAAATCTTTTGACCTGATGGCCAGATGAATTCCCCAACAACAGAACAACATAATATATAGTGCAAGATACAAGATAATGTTGACAAGATATTTGACTTAAAACAACTTTTTACATGAAATTACATGTAAGCATTCTACCAGCTGATTCACCTTATAGACTAAATTAACAATAATTTAAAACTACATTGTGAAAAAGACACTGTTGCCTAACCTTAATTGTAAAGCTATATTTATGTCAGTAAATAGTAAAACAAGAAGGGGGAGATAAATACCTATTTTGATGCCTATTTAAATTTTGTATTCATTGACTCGCATCCATTTGGTACATGACCACTTATTACCCTTGATCACTGGACAACCACCTGAAAATTATCGCAGAAACAGATAGGCTTGTTAGTTTATCTGCTCTAAAATTGAAAGCTTGTCAACATAACACAGGTGTAATAATAATAATGGCCATAGAACAGCCACTAACCATGCAAACTCGATGGATCCAAAGTTGCATCAGGCTTCACACTCCAGAAAAGTAAAGCATCACCCATCTTTGGCTTAATTGAAAGTCCTTTTTTCCCACATTCAGAAAGCTCATTCCACCAAGGCACAGAGCTGAAATTTCCCTTTGCATCTGGGAACACTGTCTCACCCCCTTCTTCAACATCTGAACTGCATCATTAGAATACAGAAAGTGGACATGAGCATCTGTATTCATATCAAAGATAATTTGACGTTAACAAACAAGAGGCAATTGAAGTCACTTACAGGTACATCAGCATTGTTGCTATGCGCTGACCCCCATTCTTAGTGTTAAAGGCATCCATAAAGTAGTCAAAGTGAGGCTCATACTTTTGCCCAACTTCATAATGAAGAACTTGAAGTCCTTCACCATTCTCTGCATATTGTGAGACATCATAGCTTAAATATAAGTATATGATGAAAAATAACATACTATCTGAGCGTCATGCAGAAAGCAAAGACAACTAAAAAATGTTTCATCTTGTTTGCTTTGTGGAAAATCAACTTTAAAATATCTCTTACCAAGAGCACTTCATGATGGAGTGAAATAGTCATCATATATGACCCATTGCTTTAACTATAGTTGTTTTAAACTTTTAAAGAGAGCAAAGAAAGGCAAAACATGTAAGGATGGCAGTGTCAAGAGCCGATAGATGCATATCTCGTCGAAAGTAGAAGCACGATTTAGAATTTTGCATATTCATACGATTAATATTTCAGCTTCATAAAGTATATTAGTTGTGAAAAAAAAATAGTATGGATCTCATCACCAATGTGATTTGATTTCAAGAAATTTTTTGTACATGATTTTCGTTTCGTTTTCATTAACAAAAGAAAAGCATAGAAATGCGTAAAGGATAGCAAGCAGAGTAATGAAGCACAAAGACAACTTCAACTCACAAGATTCATAGAAGTCAGTCTCATGCAGGTTGAAAAAAATATTCATTAAAGAAAAATGTATAGTACACAATCTAAAGAGATGAATAATTGTTTTGTAATATACATAGGCATAAATATTTGATAACATCAAGTGTTCTGAAAATATCAAATTATTCAGAAAACAATTTGTTAATTTATCTTGGATTCTTTTACAATAGTTAATTTAAGAAACTTTTTTATGTTACATTAAATATCATCCAACTACCGCATCATAATTACATAAAAGGGTCTGATACTTTAAATATAAAACTCCTTGTATAAACATACAATTACCACATCATAATTACATAAAAGGGTCTGATACTTTAAATATAAAACTCCTTGTATAAAAGTGTCTATATATGAACCAAAATTAAGCTTATCATATTAACTTACAGCATTTTTTAGGTAAATATGAAGGTTTAAAATTTTATTTCCTATGAGTATATAATGTTTTTTATTTTGTTAATATTACAACCCAAAATAATCGGGTTCATGACTGTTCTATATCTAGGGATCCCAGCGATGTGTCCTGACTTAAACACGAGAAGGAAAAACAGGGGAGCTGGTTTATGACTTGGTTACAGGGTGCAGGGATGTTTGGCACTCCTTATTGACTTGATACATATGTGAACCAGAAAAAATAATTAATTAAAAAAAGCAATGAATTTAGCTTTATCAACAATTAAACTCATAAAAAAAGTGGCAAAAGGAAGAAAGTACATACCTACAGGTATAAAAGTAAAATCAGCAATTCTTTTCTCAATATTCCTCACAACTTGATCACGTCCTCTGGCTAGGAAAGTACCAGAGCTTGTCCGTACTCTAAATGCAAAAGGAATAAGTATAGATAAGGTTTACATGAAACAAAGGAGAGAGGGAGAGAGATAAGGTTTACCTTCAACAAAGTGGCAAGTTATTTATTTTCAATACTGAACTCAAAGGACACTTAACAGAAAAGTACAGGGGAAAAATCCAACCTGCTGTCTTTACTCTTTCCAGTTTCACTATCAACAACGGTTGACTTATGCATGTTTGGCTTGGCCGTATTAATTAGATATTCGCATTCCTCCTTGGTCTGTTAAGATTAATCGCCCAAATTTCAGTATTTCAAAAGTGGACACTGAAATATTAATACTACAGCTAAGGACCTACCTTAAACAATGGTAACACAATATAATCATCTCATGTTAAAAGTGGGATTCAAAATTGAAAATAACACCCCGTTTCAATAACTTTGAGAAATGAGCCTAGGTTGTCCCTTTTTCTATTTTTTCCCTAAACCATGACTATAATTAAGTGAAAATCTACATCTTTGGTGATTACGGGCTTGAAAATGCAAGATGGATAAACAGAATATTTGAAATGAAAATTACTTGATTGATGCTTGTTTGGTATAAGAAAAATGTAAGAATGCTCAGATTTGTACTCCACTTCATAATTTTGGTTATTCCTCCAATAGTATTAAAAGTGAGTTGAAAAAGATTTCAAGCACCCCTATTAAGCATCAATGAGTAAAAACCAAAACCATTATATGATAAGACTTTTATAAAATAATTTATGGATAAACTAATTTTAATTTATAAAAAAATTATTTTTTTCTTCTATTTTTTTAAAAATATTTCTAGAAAAAAATTTATTCAAAGAGACCGTAAGCCCACGTTCTCTTTAACAAGTTTAACATGTAGAAATCCGGTGACAAGCACAATATCATTAATGATGAGCAACTCTTGCCGGAGCAAAGTGCCTACAGTCACATTTGTATATTATTATGGTTTAAATATGATTTTAATTTTTTTAAATTTATAAGAGATTTGTTTTTAATCCTACAAATTTAAAATTATTATTTTTAATCCTTATAACTTAAAAAAAATATTTTAATCTTTCATATCACTAATAACATATGTAAAAATAACATATTAATACAATTATACATTATCATTATTTATGTTTAATATGATGTATAGTTTTATTAAAAGAGACACTAATAACTAAATTTTATAAGATATTATTTTGAAAATATTCTTACAAAATTTGAGTATAAAAATTAAAATAAGATTTTTTGAAATTACAAACTAAAAATAAAAATTTTAAATTTAAGGAATTAAAAACAAATTTCCGTTAAAAGACTAAAATTATTATTATTAAAATAACTTCAACACAGACTTCATCGTTACTATCCTTAGGACAAAAATTTAACGGTTTTTTTTAGGTGTTTTTAATGTTGTTCTCCGTTACTTTGGTTACTTACACAGCTCTTAAATGCAAACTTTCATCATGGAAATTAATAAATGAAACACCAATTCTAATACCATTAAAAGAACTTGACAAACCACATTTAAGTTTTGTCTTATAATTGTAATTTTTGGTTTATATCACAATTATTTTCCTTCAAAGAAAATCTTGTTCAACAGATAATAAGATGCTAAAACTCTCTATAGTATTCGATCAATTCCATACTTTAAACCCCAACTCAAACATCCGCACAAGTTAATTCACATGTACCATAGCAGCAGTTATCGACAATTTCTCAAGTAACATTGTGGTTTTACAACACACATCATAGCAGCATCGAAATTGGATATATTCCGGAGGGAATATTAATAATATATCAGCATCGAAAACTGACCAGAAAATGATGATAGAGAAAAGCTCTTGGCTCCCACGATACTATCTCAACCCACCGGCCTTCCCCATCGTGAAGATCACCTTCGGTGCTGCACGGAAGAGAGAGACAACGTGAGAGAAAATCGAAAATCGAAAATCGAGAAAACGAGGAAACAGAAACAGTGACACATATACATATATACATGTGAGTGTTGCGAGCAATGTTGTTGAGATCGTTGGGCTTGGAGAGTCCAGAATGATCATTGGGAATGGAGAAAATGCGGAGAGCGAGGAGAATGAGAATGAGGAAGGAGCACGTGACCAGCAGCGTCAGCGTCAGCGTCCACGACGACGCCGCCCTCGACGACGGTTTCCGAGGCCCAATCCGCGACTGCCTCGCCTTCACCATTCAGATCCCAAATTCAATTCAATTCAATTCAGTCGAAAGGACACGTTTTATTAACACTCTCTGTGGGCTGTGCCTCTGGTTTTTCTTTTTCTCCCCACAATATTAGTATCATTACTATGGAAATTTTGGATTGGACCTTCTCTATGTACAAAGACTTTTCACGTCATGCATACCATTCCATATATACCATCCATGTTCTTAGATCTGGTCCTGTAATTAAATTATTAAATTAATAAATATGTCTTCAAATTTAACGAAATTCTACTGTGATCCAAATTATACGTGAACGTAAAATTTAAGAGTTACTAATCTATACTTGTTAGCGTAAAGTTTTTCACACTAAATTTAATTCACTTTTTAATCTTTGTAAATGTTACTAATTTATTTTAATTATTATTAAAATTTTATCGTTTAATTACTTGTTTTATTAAGAAAATACTTTTATGGGACCTCATCTATTAATTAATAGTATAAAGAGTACAGGTTTTACACCAACTTTTTTCCCTCTAAACTCTCTTCTCTTCAAAACTTTCTTAAACTAAATACATATAAATGTAATTATATAAATGTTTTTTTTATAAAAATAAAATAAACTAATTCAAAAAATAATCAATTTATCCAAAATAATATATAAAATCAATACTAATAACTATATTTTGCACATATTATACTAAATATAATTTTTAACATTAAATTTATATAATTACATCAATCTTTTAAAATGATACAAAACATAAAAGGGAAATTATTTTAGTAGATAAAAATTAATTTATTATTAATAAAAAAATCTATAGTATATATAAAGGGAATAATTTCATCTGTCCGATAATTTTCTCTTAAATATTTTATATCTAAATTATAAAATAAAATATTATATAAATAATATAAAGGAAACGACTTTTACAACATAGTTTTTCCTCAAAACATTTTTTATATATGAATGTTATTATAAAATAAGCTGATACGAAATAATTATTAAAACTAAAATATTATCTAAAAAATATAAAACATATTAACAAATGAACCTAACAAATGAACAAAACAAATTAATAACATATTAATTAATAGCCACTAAATTTAAAATTCAAATAAATTAATATTAATCATTACTAATAATTACTACATTTAAGTTTCATTAATCAATAGTTATTGATATTGATAATATTAATTACTAATGATACTATATTTAAAATTTAAATAAAAGTTCTGTCAAAAAATATAAATAAAAACATATTATAAAATTATTAATAAAATTACACACAATTTTGATGTTGATTTTGAATGAGATTTATTAACATATATTGTATGTTCTTATAACCTGTACCTACATTTTTTTATAGTACATATATCAACATACATTATATTTATAGTATAAGTAAAAATAATTTTCTTGTCAAGTATTGTATCATTATAGAGTGTTATTACATAACAATCTTTTTTATCATTATATTAAGAATTTACTAAATTATAATATAAATATATTAATATATTAAAAAATATATTAATATATCGACAAAATTAATAGAGTAAAAAAAACATATTATTTGTTATTATAAATTTTTATAATCTAACAATGATTTTAATCTCTTCATGTCCTTATTTGTTCAGACTCAATTATACAACATATATATTTGAATTATTTATTATATGTTTATATTTTCATTTGTAGCATATTCATATTTCTCCTTTTTCAATTTCTTTTAATTTTATGATGAGTATCTCTAAACAAAGTAAGTATTTTTTTTAGACTATAACAATTCTAACAATCATTATATAGAGATATATTATTTTTTAATGAAAAAACTTTTAAATGTAGCATAAAAATAAGAAAGATATTGTTTATGTGATGATAAGCTAATTAATTAAAATTATTTAAATATTTATTTATTCAATCTCTAATAGTTGTTATTTTTATAAATATATATCATTCGATTCGATCTTAATTTACTGACACTAATACAAAATATAGAATTTATGTTTGTTATTTCATGTTTTTTATGTCATAAAATAGTCTGACTTTAATTTGGGGTCGGTTGAGTTAATCGACGTAACATCAAGTACCGACATAAAATTAGTGAAGAAAGTGTAAACAGTGAAAAAGATGGTGTTAGACAGATGGCGACCCTCCCTCTCCTCCGTCCATACTCCTTCCTCCGCACCCCCACCCTCACCCTAAAACCCTCAACCACAAAAATCCCCTTTTATCCCTCAAACCCCAAAACGGCGTCATCGGGGCTCGCATGTCGAACTCCTCCACCTCTCTGCCGGCGATAGAACGGCTAATCTCAGTGGCGGTGTACGAGCTGCTCTTCTTGAACTTCGTCCAGCACGGGCGGTACCTGATGGCGTAGTTCCCGAAGCTGGCCCTCCTCTTCAAGCCCATCCTCCCCTTCCTCGCCTTCTACAGATCCATCCCCTACTCTTCCTTCGTCGCCTTCTTCGCCCTCTATTTGGGTGTTGTAAGAAACCCTAGCTTCCCCCGCTACGTCAGGTTCAAGGCCATGCAAGCCATTACTCTCAACATTCTCCTCGTCATTCTACTTCTCTTCCACCGCATCTTCTCCACCAGTACTGGGCCCCATCATGGTCTTCTCCAACAATGTCATTTTCATCGAAGGTACTTGATGGCGCAAAACCTTAAACGCCAAGAAGACGAAGGTGCCCAGAGGAATATAAAAATCTTTTTTACGTCGGATTACATGAATCCGAAAAATTAGACTTATTTTTAAAATTATCATCACATCTTTTTTACGTCGGATAGTTTAATATTAATGAGAAAACTATGATGTAAATTCTATATTTTGCACTAGTGTGAAATGATTTTATCTATAGATTATCAAAATAATTTATGCATGAGACGGATAGCTATCTATTTATTATTACGGCATGATTCAATTAATACAACATTTTTGCTTGCATCGATTTTTGGCTCCTCCACGTCATTTCTTTCGGTTACCTTCTCTTTATGGCAACGTACGAGACATGGATACTGATTAACGGGAGCCAGGTAGTTGCTATTAGAGGAAGGGGCTGGGTGGTCTTTCTCAATGTGACCAACCAACCATAGTTTGATGTCGGGAGTAGTGTCTATTTTATCATCCAACCATGTTTCCAACATGTCTGTAAAGGAACATATATTTGTGACCAAGAAAAATGAATGATGTTTTTCTAAAATAAAATAATAAATAAAGAATCACAACCGCGGCACTACAGGATCACGAAAACGCTACCAACATGTTTAGTTTCAGATTTATAAGTCTCAAAATAAACTTTCAAGTATTCCAATATTCTAAATGACAAAACAATTATATTTGTGGATTGGAAACACAAACCCGACGTTATAAAAACGCGGTGACAGTTCCGTAAATATGGACTGACTAATTTATGTCGGATATTGGGGTCCGACGTAAATTAGACAATCTACGTCGGGGGAACATGTGGCCGACGTAGATTGTCTAATTTACGTCAGACCCCACAATGTCCGACATAAATTAGTCACTAAAATGCCAACGTTCTTTTCATTTCCCGCGTCCCTTTGTTTTCTTTCATCTAACTCTCAATCTTCTTCTCTCAATCTTCTTCTCTCAATCTTCTTCTCTCAATCTCTAAGTGTCTAAGTTCGTGTGTTTGCACATTCCAGACTAAGCCTAAGATTATGCACATTCGACATTTAAGGTAAATTTCTTAAACGAATTAATTTCTGCATTTTCTGTTAAATGTTCATCTGGAACAGCCCGTTCTGCAACCAGAACGGGCCGTTCTGCTTGATTAATTTGTTTGTTTATCATTGATCTGGAACAGGCCATTCCGAAACCAAAACGGCCCGTTCCAGATAAACAATTAACAAAGAATTATTGCAGCTGGAACGGGCCATTCTGATTTTAGAACGGGCCGTTCCAGACGCATAAATCTTTGTTTATTTTGAATCTGGAACGGCCCGTTCTGGTTTCAGTACGGGCCGTTCCAGATGCATTAAAGAGGGACTTTTTAATGCATTGACCTTTAGTTTATCATCGTATTAGTAGAAATATTTATGGATTTTATCCGAAATTACTATCGATCTTTTAGGATTGTAGTTTAGGTTAGAAAAATTATGAATAACTGAGTCAATAGTTAATTTGTGTTAATATATAGATAATGAATCGAAGTTGGATGAATGCAAGTCGCATTAGTCAAGAGTACAGAAATGGAGTTGAAGAGTTCTTGCAGTTTGCAAGAGAAAATGGGAAACCCATCAAAGGGGCATATTATTGTCCATGTGTTCGTTGTTTGAATCAGATACGTCAGGAAGTTGGAGAAATACGTGATCACCTGTTTATATATGGTATTGTGAAGAGTTATACAGTATGGACATGGCACGGAGAAATATTAGACATTCCAACAGTGTCAACAACTGAAAATTTTGAAGGGATGAACGATAACTTAGAAGAGATGATACGTGATGTTGGTGAAGAAAATTTTGAAAGAGCACATGTGTATGATACCTTAAAGTCTGATTTTGAGCAACCATTATACCCAGGATGCAGTATGTTTACAAGATTATCAGCAACTTTAAAATTGTTTAGTTTAAAAGCAAGAAATGGCTGGACTGATAAAAGTTTCACAGAATTGTTGGAGTTATTGAAGGAGATGCTTCCAGAAGATAACACGTTACCTAATCGCAACTATGAGGCAAAAAAGATACTATGTCCAATGGGTTTGGAGTATAAGAAGATACACGCGTGCCCTAATGATTGCGTATTGTATACAAATGATTTTGCTACACTGAAAGTGTGTCCGACATGTGGATTGTCGTGGTTCAAAAAGAAAACTGATGGAAGTAGTGGTGAGGAAGAAATAGAGGGTCCCCCTGCTAAGGTGTTATGGTATTTGCCAATAATAGCTAGGTTTAAAAGATTGTTTTCCATTAAAGAGGATGCAAAAAACCTCACATGGCATGAAAATGGTAGAAAATGTGACAATTTTCTTCGACGTCCAGCTGATTCTCTACAATGGAAGAGGATTGATGAAACATTTCCAGAATTTGGTGCAAAGTCAAGAAACTTGAGAATTGGTCTAGCTACAGATGGCATGAACCCTTATGGGAACTTAAGTAGTAAACACAGTTCATGGCTAGTTTTGTTTGTCATTTACAATTTTCCTCCTTGGTTATGCATGAAGAGAAAATATATTATGTTGTCTATGATGATATCAGGACCGCGACAACCAGGAAATGAAATAGATGTGTATCTTAGTCCATTGATTGATGACTTGAAAATGTTGTGGGAGACAGGAGTGGAGGTCTTTGATGCATATTGTGAAGAAAAATTTACTTTACGTGCAATGTTATTTTGCACAATAAATGATTTTCCAGCATATGGTAACTTGAGTGGGTATAGTGTGAAGGGTCATTATGCATGTCCTATATGTGAAGAAAACACAAGTTATACCCAATTGAAACATGGGCAAAAGACTGCGTACACTAGGCATCGTAAGTTTCTTGTTCGTAGTCATCCATACCGTAGATTGAAGAAAGCATTCAATGGATGTCAGGAGGATGAAATTGCCTCGACACCGCGCAATGGTGAAGAAGTGTATCAGCGGGTGAAGAACATTAACATTGTGTTCGGAAAGACGCAAAAAAAGTCAACTGAGAGAAATATCTGGAAGAAACGATCAATATTTTTTAATCTTCCTTATTGGTGCAAGCTAGATGTTAGACACTGCATAGATGTGATGCATGTGGAGAAAAATGTTTGTGATAGTGTAATTGGGACATTGCTAAACATCAAAGGAAAGACTAAAGATGGAGTGAAAGCACGATAAGATTTGGTGGACATGGGTATACGTTCTGAGTTACATCCTCAGTCTATTGGAAGACGCACTTACTTGCCTCCATCTTGTCATACTCTATCAAAGAAAGAAAAAAAAAACTTTTGTGAGTGCTTACGCAGTGTGAAAGTTCCACAAGGGTACTCCTCAAATGTTAAGAGTTTGGTGTCTATGCAAGATTTGAAGTTGATTGGTTTAAAGTCTCACGATTGTCATGTGTTAATGCAACAACTTTTGCCTGTGGCTATTCGTAACATTTTACCATTCTGTTAGAGTTTCTATTACTCAATTGTATTTATTCTTCAATGCCATTTGCAACAAAGTATTTGACCTTGTAAAGTTAGATGTGTTAGAAAATGAAGCAATAACAATCTTGTGTCAATTGGAAATGTATTTTCCACCTTCATTCTAAAGTAATGCACTTCAACGACACATCTGCTGCCTTTCTTCATAGATGAAGATGGCCTGATCTTGATGCTCTTAGCTAGAGATACTTCATTCACTCCTCTCTTTTCAATCTTGACCTATACAAAGATGAGAGAAAGGCGGTCACAGACACATGGCATAAGGTAAAGTATAAATGGTGCAAAGACATTCCACCCTGGAAACCAGGTATGCCTATGGCTTGGGATGCTCCCTTCGAAGTTGCACAATCTGGATCCCAATCGTTTGAGCTTATCTCTACTGAGCCAATCTCATTTTTTGCCTCTCTTTAAGGTCTCCCATCTCCTTCTAAACAATCGCAACAATATGTATCCATTGAGTTTTTCCATGACTTCAAAGCAGATCTGAACAACAAGCTGGATAGTCTGTTCAACTTGGTGGCATCTCAACTCTCCAAGGATCCACCTCCATCATCTTGATCATTCTGAAAAATTAGCTTAGGAAATGATAAATTTAGGGGAAATTAGTTTGATGAACTTTTGGTTCTGAACTGTAATGCTTCTTGTTACTGTACACATTAAACAATTCAGTTCAATGCAACTCTATCTTTCCTTCAACTATATTAAGCTATGGTGTACCCTGATCTGACTATGATTCTATTATTGGTTTTACTCGTCTTTTTGATGATTACAAAGGGGGAGAAATAGCAATGAATTCATCAAATATAATAAATATGATAAATAATCATAAATCAACAATGACTAAGAAATAATCAAGTAAGGGGAGAGCATATACTAAGGGGGAGAGTTTTAATACATTGATAGTATGGGAACTTGGCCTAAAGTATGATTTGATCTAATTTAGAAGATTTAATTTTATCTGAAACAATTTGATCAATTATATTTGTCATCATCAAAAAGGGGGAGATTGTTAAGCCAGACGAAGAAACTCCCAACAAGGTTTTGAGTGAGACAAATATAATACATGTTGTTATCTTTAACAAGTGTGTTAGTGTTTTAGAAAAAAATTAGAACAGGTAAAATGAAGAACATGACAAAAACGCATCAAGCACAATCTAAGGCGAAACATAAGAACTCGGACGAAAGACGGTCAACGACCAAAAAGAAATTCCAGAAGAAATTGAAAGTCTGACCATATATAATCTAAGGCGAAACATAAGGACTCAGACGGAAGACAGTCAACGACAAAAAAGAAATTCCAGAAGAAATTGAAAGTCTGACCATATATAAGTTGACCAGATGAAAGGAAAAGTTAATACATTAATGACAAATGCCCAGACAAAGGTCGAAGTTTGAGCTACATAGAGACAACTAGACGCAGACGAAAATTGTCACACAATCATCTGAGGAATCAATCTTCGAAGGACAATTTGAATGTCATCCACACTCACAGGAGAATACACGAAGTCATCGTAATTGTGAGAAGAAGAGAAGAAAGGAGAAAATCAAGCGCAGAACTAAAAGCATGCATGTGTCAGAAAAAGTACATTACTTTTTTCAGACAAGGACAAAACTCCACAGCTGTGTGAGCTGAAAATGAAAAAAAGGTTCCTAGGTCTCTGCTGAATTGAGACACTACTGCTACCAAGACAATAAATACTTCACGCAAGGTCTATCACAGGAAGCAACATTCAATGCAAGAATCTAAGCATTAAATGAGGAGATCAAACTAGTCGTAAACGACTTATCTGCTTCAACGGACACTTGCAACAGGCAGATTTCACAAGATTATATATAGGTCTTAACATCAAACCTTAAGAGGCTGGCTGTTTGGCCCGAAATGGTGCAAGCATAAATAAAAGTGATATCCAGCCCATGATGCAACGAAACCAGAGATAGTGCGTATAGAGTCAAAAGTACATTAATATATTCGTCTCAGTAAACTACGTAATTTCAAATATGTATATCTTAGCATCAAATCATAGTAAGTGTAGGAACATATGTATCCTCTCCTTGAGAATAACCCAAACACTCAAACCAAACCTGTCTAGCCAACATTGTAAAGCTTGAAGAGGCTAGGGAAAAAATAATTGCTTGACCTGACCGTGTGAAGTCACCACCCCGCCATGAGATGTGGATAGCAGCCTAGACAAAATCA